GTCACCCTGTATAAGCAATAAAACCAGACCAAGAATGCTTGATGAACAAACGATGAACTAAAATTTCATTTGGAGGTTATGCCATGACATAAATGCATTAAATTAGGAAGATTTGTATTGGATGAATTACCCAGATAGCAATTAAAACAACTTCTGTTGATAAGAACATTTGGTAAGTACCTTTAAAATTTAAAACCCTCAAAATGATTCTAACCCTATCCTCTGACGCTTTTCGACTAGGATCAAATAGAAAGACCTAAAAGTTAATTATTTAATTACAGATTTGTGGAATCCAGATACTGTGAATGTACATGTAATTGATTGACAAGTACACATTTGACAAGGTAAATTAATTTTATTTAACAAAGTAGTGCAAATCTAGAAACAAAACAGACAGTAGGTAGGTATGGTAGATAACACAGATCACTTGTTTATCTGCTGTACTCTTTATAATATTAGTGTAGAATGTAGATGATGTAGGGAGATTAGATTATAGTTCCAAAATACTGGACTGTCCTGTCGATGACATTGACAGTGGGGCGCCACCGTCAATACCGGATCGCTGGTTCAGATTTTTGCCATGTTGGAAACCATATAGTTGAACGAGGTAGCGCCCCCCTGTCATTGAGTTTGGTGGGACAGTTCAGCGTGGGTCATCTATACAGTCTTACGGTGACATGTGCATCTTTTTGCTCTAAATTTATTTACATACATTTCATATATTTTACAGGTGGTGAGAAACGTGTAGATCTGGCCTGCTTACAGTGGCTATTGGATTGGACAGAACCAAAGTGAGAGTTAACGTGTGAATTTATGGAGAACATTAAACTATTTTACTATAAGAGTATTTCTCAAAAAAAATGTACATTTTGAAAAAAAAAAGTGTGCCTTGAAACAGTTCAAAAGTTTTATATTTATAAATCATCACACAAAAAAAAAACACACACAATTTTGAAGGATGAATATTAATCTTTAAGATAACGAAGAATTATAGCTATAATCCTACTTATTACCAAATATTTAGATATTTTAAAAATAGTCCTTTTTTACCTTTCATACAAAAACCTGTTTGCCACCCTAGCTTTTTCATGTATTTTTGTTTCATAAAATGCGATACGTTACTAAATTATTGTAAATTTCTTTGTATTATCGTTCTACAGTAATTGTAGTTTCTGTATCAAA